AAATGAAGAATATGCCAATGTTATATTTCTTATTGATTCATTGAGTTTGTGTAATGCAATGAAGTCTATGGATGCTATGAAGTAAAAAAATGCCATAGAAAAAGAATACAAATCACTCATGGACAATAAAACAAACGAATTGAGTCAACTTCTACAAAATCAATCTTTAATTGGTTATAAGTAGGTGTTCAAAATCAAAAAAGATGTAATAGATAATATTGTGAGATACAAGGCTATATTAATTACCAAAGGCTACTCACAAGTTACTAATATTGATTTCAATGAGACATTTGTTCTTGTAGCCAAATTTACTAGTATTAAAATTATTGTGGCAATTGGAGCAACAATGAACTTAGAAATACATCAAATAAATGTGATGACAGCTTTTTTAAATGGAAGGTTAGAAGAAAATATCTATATTGATCAATCATAAGGATTTGTTAAATGCAAATGACATCTTGTTTATAAATTGAAGAAATCCTTATATAGACTCAAGCAATCACCAAAGACATGATACCAACATATTGATATATTTTTTATAAATGAAGGATTTGAAAGAAGTATCTGATTATTCTCTACATGTAATATAATCAAATGAGTTCATATTTATTGTCATCCTCTATGTTGATGATTTGATTATTTTAACCAATATCTTAAAGATGATAGATTAGTTGAATGTAAAGTTTAAAAAAGAGTATGTAATGAGTGATTCAGGAGATCATCACTATTATTTTGGAGTTGATTTTGTAAGATATCATGCTAAAAAAATCATTATAATGAGTCAAAGCAACTACATTGAATAGGTGTTGAAATGATTCAACATATAAGAATATAAGCCTATTGAAACACCTTTGGAGGTCAATTTCAAGTTGATGAAGCTCATGGATGAAGAATTTACTAAAATTAAAGATTAAATGTAAGGTATTCCATATAAGGCAATAGTGAGCTCATTTATATATGCAATGGTTGGCACAATGGTGGATCTTGTATATGTAGTGAGTATTATAAGCCATCACATGTTAACGCTGAACCAATCCATTGGGCAACCAACAAAAGAATCATAAGATATTTAAAAGTTACTTTGCATGTCAAATTATATCTTGGACGTGGTAACAATACTTTGCATGGTTATTGTAATGCAGATTGGACTAGAAATGTAATTGATAGAAGATCAATAATGGAATATATGTTTTTTTTTGGAATGAAAGCTATTTCATAGAATTGCAAGAAATAACTAATAATTGCAATGTCAATAATGGAAGTGGAGTACATCGGAGCAAGCTATGGTACAATAGAGGCAATATAGCTACGACAACTTTTAGAAGACATTGGAGTAGTGCAAATGGAAGCAACTCCAATAGAATATGACAATCAAGGATGTCTTGTATTTATAAAGAATCTAAAGCATCATTTAAGGATCAAACATATTGACATTCAATATCACTTCATAAGAGAGAAGATTAAAATGAGAGTGAATAATATGAAGTATTGTGCATTAGAAAACATGCTTGTTGACTTGTTGAAAAAGGCATTAGTAAAAGATAGACATCACATGTTCACAAAAGCATTAGGATTGAAAGCCTTTGATCAACAAAAAAATGAAAGTTTTAAAGTAAATAAATAAAAGTGAAAGTAAAATAAATTACCTTATAAAAGATATTACCTTAAATAAGTTGTTAGTGGTCAAAAGGTTGGTTCTTAGTATGTAAGAAGGCAAAGAAATAAGATAGATGAACAAAAAAAGATTCATAAAGATATAGAAAATATATTAAAGGTATATTCTTAAAATAAATAAAATATCAATAGATAAACTTGGTAGAATATTGGATAGATATATTCATCTACAGATGGAAGTTTTTCATTAAGACAATAAGAACCACCTTTAAGTAATGGATATTAAAAGTGAAAGATGTCTTATTTCATATTCTCTTTATGAACAACCTTACTGATGTTATAAATTATGACTTCCAAATTCTTTTTCTTCAATAATTTTGAGCTATCCTTCATCAAAATGGGTAGATCTCTCCTTCTCAATCTCAAGCCTCTTGTCCTCTATTTCTATTCTCAACCTCTGTTTTGTATTCTATTTTGTCGTGTGTCCTTTAGTAGTCTATCACACTCGTTGTATGCATCTATTTAGCTTAATTAGGTAGGAAGTTTGGCTGGAGTGACATATTTGTTAAAAGATAATATAAGTGTTTTAAGATGATCTCAATAAGAACAAAAATCTTATACAAAACAAAGGCTAAACCTAAACCTCCACTTCTATAATAAGAACAATAATGTCCATGTGTTGAATGTTCTTTGTACTTTATTATATCCTATACTTGTATCACTTCAAAAGTTATTTTCTATAACTTACAACAATTGTAGCCAATATTAAAGTTCAATAATCTAGGTAGAAATATGCCAACTTCAGATGTTAGCTAGAGCATGGTCTAAAGTGGAATCACTAGTTGGTTATGATAACTAGAGTATAAATTTTACATCTGATAAATAGCCAAAAGATATAGATCAAGTGTCGTTGAAACATAAAAAAGTCTAAATAGGCAAGAATTGAGATGCTCTTTCTACAATACCAGTGGATCCAAAGGCTTGCCTTGTAGCCTTGTCTTCCTTGTCGTATCAAACACATATACAATACAAACTGTTAGTCTCTTAAGTGCTTTCTTTTCCTCATAACTTATTCATCTTCTTTTTTACTCATCTCTTCTTTTGTAAACTATTCTCTCAACATTGATTGATAAATCCATCAACAATTTCTTGATATTGGAAAAATTACCCTTCCATAGGTTCTATCTCTCCAAATGTAAGGAAATCAAAGGCTGATTTGTTGGTAATGGTAGTTTGCCATTATTCAAATTTGTAAGGACAAAATTGTGACATATAATTTTTAAAAATCTAATTTAATTGTTGTAGTAGTTAGCTTTGAGTTCACCAAATTTTTCCATAAATACACAACCTACACATCAAATACAAGTTAAGTTGCTAACGAGATTGTACCAACTACTATGCAATGAGTTATTTGCTTTAGCAATCAGTTTAGTTATTGATTGCATATTGAACCAATGATCCCCTTCTTGGCATTATCTTCTTCTCTCTCCCAATCTCTTACTTTAGCCTTTGTTATCATAAAAAAATTGTGAAAGTATGGTCTATCAATCTTTTAATCTTCAAAATTTGAAGCTAAAGGTATAAGAAAAGTTACCACATGGATAATTGGCTTGTAGCAAAGTGTTCATAGCAATGTCGCTTTTTAATTATTTGATGTCAGTTATAAATAGGAGTTGTAAAGTGTGGAGTATAAAAGATCTAGTGCAGTCAGTCAAAGCCATAGCAAAGTTTATGAAGAAGGCGCATGTGCAAGATGTACCCCACAGATCCAAATAGGAGAGAGGTGATAACTAGATTGCAAAAGAAGAGGTTTTTTTTTTGCTTTCCAGTGTTGGACTTCCTAAAGCTACTACAACTGGCTTTATGTGACTACCCTTGACAATATAATGAACTGATGCTTTTGCTAGTTCTCATCTTTAATTAATTTCTCTATCCAAGTTCATGGTCTCAGCATAGCACATGCAATCAATTCCAGATAATGAGATTAACAGCAAGTCAGAAGGGAAGTACTCTCCATCTACTACTCTTTTGTTCCACACAAGTTTTTTGTTCTTATTGAAGACATCTTATGACACTTGCATTATCTTTTAACAAATGTACCGCCCCAACCAAACTCCCCACCTGACTACGCTGAACAGATGCATACAAAGAGTGCCATGGACTGCACACTGCCACACAAGCATGGAGGATGGAGGCTAGGAACAAGGATGGAGACAAGATGATCAGGAACAAGGATGGAAAATGGGAGACCCACCCATTCTAACAATGGATGGGTTGAATAACAGCAAGTGGGGTAAATTTAACATTTCCCTATTTTTATTGTTGCTCAATTTGTCATTCTCTTTCAGCATTTGAATACTATGTATAGCTTGTTGTGATGATCTTAAAGCTCATAAACAATACAAAAAAATTACTCCAGTGGTAGAAAGCCAAAGTTGATAGAAATCAACAACAAACTTGTTTTCTATCAACTTTGACTTTCTACCACTGAAGTAATTCTTAATTGTTTATAAACATCAATTTATAGTATTTCATATACACAAATGCATATCATGTAAAGCATGCTAATCTTTGTGTATATCCAAGGAAATAATTTAGAACAAACCCACTTAAATAAAAGCCTACTGTAGGACAATTCTGCTTCATTTGAATTGGGAGGCTCTGAATAATTTTGCACACTTGGTATAATCATGTACTGCTTCAGCATATTTGTGAAGTAGGACACATCTTATTCTGTGTATGTTCAAAATGGCTAGAAAAGGAAGCTCTCCCACAATAAATATTGGATGATCATTTTAAAGTATATTCAAATTCACATCAATAATCACTATATCTTAACATCTCAAAGTTTGTCAACCAAACATCATTGATGTATGTTGGATTAAGAAAAAAAATCATATCTTGGACAAACATATTCAATGAAATCTAAAATCTTGTTTATTTGCGGATAATACACTCCATCCCGTCATGTTATGCTAGTGTAATTATCTTATAATCTATGTATGTTCAAAGAATTGACCTGCAAACTATTTTCCTCATTTATTGTAATCATTCTAAGCACAATTGAAGTACGTCTGCATAGGTTCCAAGCTAGTAACTGTTTTCATGTCTTAATGAATTTTTTTGTCCAAACTTCAAAAAAAAGCATGTTTTAATTTTTATAAAATATAATAATGAAAATAAGGTATTGTCACCAAAATTCGCCAACCATTTGACATACTTCTTTATTTTTTTTATTCCAATCAAAAATTATGTTCAATCAAATGGTTTAGAAGGTATTGAACAAAAATGGCATGTGGAGAATGGGAGAATGTGAAATATTAATACACATACTTAGCACAACTTCTACAAACCATTGCATTAATAAAACAGGAAAAAAACTAAAATTTAAAAATTATGATTGTGATTTCACCAATTGCAATGTTGTACCTTACAAACACATTGCTACTAAGAAATAAGTAGCAATACATTGATCAAAGGAATTACTAAGGATATCTTTTCTGTTCATTCAAAAACCAGGGGACACACAAGACTAGACAAGACAAGGGAGGACAAGGAAAGGAAAGGGAGAGGGGGGGAGGGGAGGGGGGATCCCTTCCTCCCTCACTATCTCCTTGAACCTGCTGCTCTTCTGCTGACTGAGTAGTACAGGGTTCCGCTCCGCTGTTATTGGACACCCGGAACTCCACGCCGGAATCCATCCAACATCCTGCTGCCCCCCTTGCATGCTTGCCACGCTGCTCTCTCGGCAAATCCACATTTTGTTTCTCAACACTCACAATGTGCGAATGGTCTTTCGATATCATCCAACCAATCCCTGCTCATGTTCTCTCCACCCCTGAAATAGAAGATTGCCCCCTGCTTGGATGCTGCTGGTCGTGCTCAATGCCCAACTCGAGTTTGCTGCCCCTGCGGTGATGCCTACCTCATGCATAAACCAAAACCCTAAGCCACCAATTCAAGTTTCCATGGTGTCTTCGACTTTCCCTGCCCATTTCCTTACACAATATTCTGTTTGAACGTCAGTAACGACTTTTTCCAGAAGAAAGCTCTGAAACTGTATGCAGAGATCGGTTGCCAGAAATCATTGAATAGCACGAATCACAATTACATTACGCATCACAAGTGGGAAAATCACAGTACCAGGTGCCCAAAATCACCCAAATACACCTCAGGTGTTCCAAAGCTAAGGGCACCACATGGTAGCCCGTGATAGTTGTATACATCAATTCGTTACAAACTCGAAAGCATTCATCGGATAGACAGCTCGTCTCGCTCGCCACGCCATGCGACCCTAAAAAGGTACTTTGGCGGTGTCCCTATCATTCTTTAACTTACGGATTTGTCTCGTCCCAGAGGTTAATTGCACTAGTGTATAGATCTTGATGGATGCTCAAAAGGCGCCTCCGGGTGGAGCAGCCTCGAAAACTTCAGCAGTTTTCTCTTCCTTCTGTTTCTTCAGCTCCGTGATGGTGAGTGCGACCGCACCAACCAGGAGTACGACGGACAGGATCACTCCAAGGACAATTGCAGCCACTCGGGCAGCGACTGATCTCTTCTCAACTCCACCTGCAATGGAAATGATCCATCGCATTGGCAATTGTTTTTCTTCTAATGAGCAGCAAATAATATCACGGAATGAAGGAAGCGAAGGAGAAGATCTATACACGGGACTCACCGACGGGGTACTCTTCCGTACGAGAGACGAGATACGTGGGGCATTCCACGCACAGATCGTTGACGATGCTGCACAAGAATGGGAGCGCCAATTGCCGGGTGAAGTTCACAGTCACAGGCGGGTAGAAGGTGGCATCGCATATGCAAGCGATCCGAAATCCGGCGATTTTGCGGAAGCCCTCGCAGCAACCCGGATTTGGAGCATCCTCCCAATTGGTCAGGAACGACTGGCAGTTGCCCGTCTCACTAGCCATATTCTGCTTATCATAATACGTGCACAAGGTAGGGGATATCATTGAAGAGTTATGAAGCGTACAATTGACATGTTTGATGGCTACCGGCGCGTCTCCTGTTACCAAACCATCATCACCCGTCGTTTGCGCAGCCGCACGGTCGATACAGACGAGAATCGCCAAAAAGAATAGGATTCTCGTCGCAGACATTTTAGTCGCCTCTTAGCTCCTCACACTCGGCTCACTCCCCAGGTTGGACTTGCTCACAAAATGTGGCAATATCCTTGGGACCCAGCAGAGTATGAGGAATTGTCCTCACGGTTCAGGAATGACTCTCAAATTACAGATCTCAACAGCGGAACGCTGCCGCCCATTGCCAGGTCTGGAAGCACAGCCAGGAGAGAGAAGGGAATCCTGGCGTGATCCGCAGTGAGGAATGAAGGCAGAGGAATTGAGTGCAATGTGGATCGAAGCTGGTGTGCGAGCACGCGAGAGCGTGCAGGACGGTGAGGGATGGAGGTGGTAGCAGCGAACAGGAGGGAGGAGCTGCACAAAGAGTGTTGGAGGAGTGGGTGAGGGAGGGAGGGAAGAGGGAGGAGGGAGGAGCTGCACAAAGAGTGTTGGAGGAGTGGGTGAGGGAGGGAGGGAGGGAAGAGGGAGGAGGGAGGAGTTCATAGGGCCCTTCTCCCCAAACCCCCCCCCCCCCCCCCAAGCCTTGGGGCTGGCCAATGGGCCTCCTCCCTCCCTCCTTCCCTCCCCTTCCTAGGGTAAAGCTCCTCCACCCCCGTCCCCCCTCGGAGCATGCTCTCTCTCTCTCTCGCTCGCTTTTGGCAATTAGGTCGTTTGACATGGCCCCCTCTTTGTTCGCTATGTCCTGTCCTGTCCCCTCCACTCCTGTGCTGCCATGTCATGCCACGCTGTTTCTCCTACCCCTCCTGCCCAACCCCCATGCTTCAGGGTTTAGGGTTTACTCACTACCTCATGGGTTACGAAATCGCCCTATGGCAACCTCCACTGAAGCTACCTTCTTTGCATTTATATGTAAAATCATTCTAATGTTACATCCATCCTCTACAAGCTCTTCATTTGTTCATAATCATTGTTGTTTACTACATGAGATGAAATCAAGATATTTCTCTTTTGAACATATTGGTTTCAACATGAAAACCAGCCAAAACATGAGATTAATCATACATACTGTAAAATTTATTGAAAACACTTATTTGGTTACCATTCTTGCAATAGAATGTTATTTTATTAGAATATTGTTTGACAGAAACTTTATGTTCATAATTCACAATCTTTAAAAAAATAATTCACAATCTGTCAATGAAATCAAAGTTGATTCTACTTAAAATTCAGAATTGAAAAATACATCAGACTAATATAAATATCTTTAACTATCAAGGTCACATTATTTTTCTACGAAATTTATAGATTTATTATTAAATTTAACTTATTGTTTTCATGTGAACAATGAACTTTTATTGATTAAGAAATGTATACTTGTATTAAAAATATCTACCTCCAACAATAATAGAAACCAATTTACTTTTTAATATTAAAAAAATCATATTATATATTAATGTATATATAAATTCAAAGTTTAAAACAAATTTAAATCTATTGATTTAATTATAAGTCAAAAATTTAGTTTGTACTTTTATTTGTATAATCAAAATATATTTTTTGACTATTAAAATTAATTTCTTATTAAAATAATAAAGATATGAATTAAAAAATATAATATAATATAATTTATTAATCTTTTAAAAACCATATATATATATATATATATATATGGTATTGATATTGTTATCATAGTTTTTGCTATTGCCACCAAAGTTTGTCATTTCATTCAATATATTTTTTTAATTCTTTTTATTTTAATCAAATATTATAGTCAATCAAATGATTTGAAAAGTATTGAAAAAAATGTGACATTAATGAATAGAAGAATGTAATAGTAGTAATTATTGAAGAACAAGCACTATGAAGTCACAACACTTAGTATCAGTAGGTTGTACACAAAGAGAGTATAGAATACAATATCTCTCACTTCCAACACCCATTACTTGTATGTGATAGTTGCTACTCTAATGGACAACTTCCATCTTTTAATGAATACATCCATTCAACATTCTACCAAGACTATCTATTGTTATCTTATCTATTATGAAAATATACCTTTAGCATATTTTTTATATTCTTAAAATCCTTGGTCTATTCATCTATTTTATCTCTTGGCCTTCTTACATACCAAGAGCCAACCCTTTAATAAATATCAACTTACATAAAGTAATATCCTATATAATATTACTTATTCTACTTCAACATTTATTTATATGCTTTAACACTCTCACTTTGCTATTAGTCAAAGGCTTTCAATCCTAATGCCTTTGTCAACATATGATGTCTATCCTTTACTAATATCTTTGTCAAGAAATCAGCAAGCATGTCTTCTATTGTACAATAATTCATATTAATCACTCTGATTTCAATCTTTTCTCTTATGAAGTAATGTTGAATGCCAATGTGTTTGGTCCTTGAATGATTCTTTGGATTCTTTGTAAATACAAAACATCCTTGATTGTCACAGTCCATTGAAGTTGCTTTCATTTGCAATACTCCAATGTCCTCCAAAAGTTGTTTTATCCATATTGCTTCTATTGCACCATGGCTTGTTGCAATATACTTGGCCTCTATTATTGTTCTCATGATCCTTTTGATGGTTGCTCAATGGATTGATCCAATCTTTGACATGTATTGGTTTACAATATTTTTAGCATATGTAAGATCTACCTTTGTGCCAAATATTGCATATATAAGTGAATCCATTACTACATTGTATGGAACACCTTGGATTTAATCTTCAACTTTAGCAAATTCTTCATTCATGAGCTTCATCAACTTCAAATTAGCCTCCAAAAGTGTTCTAATAGGCTTACAATCTTTCATGTTGAGTCATTTCAACACTTCTTTAATATACTTGCTTTGACTTATTATAATAGTTTTTTTTAGCATGATCTTTTATAAACTCTACTCTTAAACAACAGTGAAGATCTTCCAAATCACTAAGTACATACTTTTTTTTTAACTTTGCCTTCAACCAATCTATTATCTTCATAGTATTGGTTAAGATGATCAAATCATCAATATAGAAGATGACAATCAATATGAACTTATTTGATTGCATTACATATAAAAAATGATCAGATTTAGTCATTAAAAATCTTTCATTCACAAAGAATGTATCAATGTGTTCTCGTGATGTAATATGACTATATAATGAAACTATAATCAAAACAAAATTTCTAATTAATATCTAATTATTTTGATTCAATAATAATTTAAGGTATCTAAAAATAGTTTTTATTAAAGCCTCTTATGTTATTTTTTTATCTTAATAGTTAGTAGGTTGAAGATTAATAATTTGTAATTTTACCTTGTAGCAGTAAAAACTCTTTTACTACCTTAGAAAGACCATAAATTGATAAAATTATGTTAGAAGAGGTAAATAATTAATATAGATGATACTAGGATTAAGTTAAGAATAGAGTTGGGCTAAAAAATCTTTAGGATAGGTTAGATTGATATCCATGGATCAACCGTTGTCATATTACGTGTTGTTTTGCTCAAGAATGTATTTGGCACCTAGTTGTGGAAGGTGAGATTGTATTTCACAAGTAAGCAAGAAATCCTAATAGGTTTCATCTATACGAGGTGAATATAATCTGAATTTCAATTCAAAAGTGCTTAAAAAACTCTTCTTAATAGTCTTAACCATACATAAATCCCAATTATCTTATTACTTTCATATTTAAGAAATTTAGATTTTTCTTATAAGCCCCAATCCTAATCAGTGAGCTTTAACAAGCTGTAACATCTAATCTGATCGTCCACTTGATGTGGAATTTTGCATGCAATTGTCAATGTAAGTCTTCTATATGCTTAAGAAGTTTTAGCCCAATTCAACTTACAGATTGTGAGAAAACGTCCAAAAATTTCACTGATGTCACTTGGCTACTAACTTAAAAAGTGATCAAAAATCCCAGCAATGAATTCTCTCTTTCCAACCATTAACTTTGTTTCAAAATTGGTGTGTAGCTTGATCTTCAAGTCCTTCAATACCAAAAATATTTTCATCTTAATCCATTTGATAGATCTTCAAATATCATAGAAATCCTATCCAACCTCAAACTGCCACCTTCCAAAACTCTCTTGTACTAAAAACTAAATATTTCTAAACCACGCCATTACATTATCACAAAAGTTTTTATATACTTAGTACATCCAATAATCCAAATAGTATCAAGTTTTCAATCATAGATGTCACACCAATTGCACAAACTAGGTAAAATTGCTAGCTCTAATTATATTATATAAAATACAAATCACCAATTCAAATCCCGACTTTGAACAATAATTGCTAAGTCCAACAAAACTCTTTCAAAATAATTCTTATGTCTCTAGAAAGAACTTCAAGCTAGCTCTCAAATTCTAACCTTTGATCTTTGAATGACCCCCTAACTTGCCCAATTTTAATTATAATTTTACTATATAGTCATATTACATTACGACATTGTTTGTGAGACAGGGTTGAAATTAGAGCTTTGGCGACTAAAATGACCGCCTAAGGTAAAATAAGGTTTCATTTGAAGATCAGAGATTAAGATTTGAGAGCTAGGTTAGAACTTATTTCAAAGACATAATTTTGGTTTTGATAGGATTTGGGAAGAGTTAGAAATTGTTGTTGGAAGTCAAGGTTTGTATTGGCAACTTGGGATTTATACAATGAAATTAGGGCTAACACTCTCGGCTAGTTTATAAAATTGGTATTACATTTGTAGTTCAAATTTTATAAGTACTTGAATAATTAGGTTTTCTAAGAGTACATGAAATTTTGTGCTAATCCAATAGTGCAATTGAGAGATATCTGGATTTTGGTATAGAAACATATCAGAAGTTGATAGTTTAGGATTGAATAGGGTTTCTGTGATATCTAGAGATCTAATAATCGGATCAAGGTGAAATTTGGCATGGTATTGAAGGACTTAAAGATCAAGGTGCATACCAAATTTTTATTCAAAGTAAATAGTTAGAGAAGAAGAAATAATTGCTGGAACTTTTTCTTTACCTTTCAAGTTGGCAGCCAAGTGACATCAGTGCAATTTTTGGAGGTAATTTCACAATCTATAAGTTGGATTGGGCTGAAAATTCTTAAACATATAGAAGACTTATATTGACAATTTCATGAAAATTTTCACATTAAGTGGACAATGAGATTAGAAGTTACAACTTGTCAAAGCTCATTGATTAGGATTGGGACTTACAAGAAAAATCTAAATTGCTTAAATATAAAAGTAATATGGTAATTTAGGTTTATGTGTGATTTAAGCTACTAAAAAGAATATTTTTTAGCACTTTTGAATTGAAATTTGAATTATATTCTTCTAATATGGATAAAACCTATTAAGATTTCTTGGATGTTTGTGAAATACAACCTCACCTTCTTTAGCTAGGTGCTTGGTGCATTCCTAAGCAAGATAACACATAATATGAAAATATTGGTACCATGCCCTTGGAGATTTCTTGAGCCTATAGAATGCTTTCTTCAATTTAGAAAAAAGATGTTGATTGTTTTCTTTTGTTAATCCTAGAAGT